GAAGGTCATGGTTTGATTCCGGTCAAGGACACATGCCTGGGTTGTGGGCTCGATCCCCAGTGTGGGGTGTGCAGGAGGCAGCTGATCCATGATTCTCTCTCCTCACTGATGTTTCTTTCTCTCTCTCTCTCCCTCTCCCTTCCTCTCTGAAATCAATAAAAAGTATATATATATATAAAAACAAACAAACAAACAAACAAAAAACCGAACTCCTGGGGTAGCAAAAATTCCTGCCCAAAGTCTCTATTTCTGAATTGTATTTTGGGGGTTTGAAACGTCCAAGACTGGTTCAGGGTGGGTTTCTGGTTCCCCCAGCCCAGGCCACCACTCTTGGTCTGGCTCCAGCCATGGGGAAGTTGTTCCCTGCTTAGAAGTATTTTCTAAGAAGCCATCCAACAATACTAATGCTAAAACTAAAAAATTGGCCCTGACCAGTGTTTCTAAGTGGTTAGAGCACCAGCCCTCACACCAAAGGGCCAAGGGTTCAATTCCTGGTCAAGGGCATGTACCTGGGTTTCAGGTTTGATCCCTGGCATGTGCCAGAGACAACCAGTTGATATCTCTCTCCCTCTCTCTCTCTCTCTCTCTCTCTCTCTCTCTCTCTCTCGTTCCCCATCTCTCCCTCTGCTTCCACCCTTCCACCGGGGATGTGCCCGCAACCAAGGTACATGCCCTTGACTGGAATCGAACCTGGGACCTTTCAGTCCGCAGGCCGACGCTCTATCCACTGAGCCAAACCAGTCAGGGCCCACCCTTCCACTTTCTAAAAAGCAATGGAAAAATATCCTCTGGTGAGGATTAACAACAAAAATTCCCTGGCCAGGTAGCTCAGTTGGTTAGTGCATTGTCCCAATATATCAAGGTTGTGGGCTTGATCCCTGGTCAGGGCTCATACCAAAATCAACCAATGAATGCATACACAAGTGGAGCAACAAATCCATGTTCCTCTCTCTCTCCCCCAAAAAAGAACAATATCAATAAGTAAAATAAAAAATACACTAAAAATAACTGAAAAAAATAGACCCACAACCCTGCATAATTAATCATTATGAACACTCTGTACAATCAGAGTGTTCATCCTCCCCCCTTGCCTTTCAGCCTCCGGTGTGCCGGGAGGCCCAGGGCTGCAAACTCTGTGGCCAAGACCTGCCCTCTTCCCTCGCCAGCTGCTGGGAGCCTCAGTTCCCTCCACTCCGGGCATAGATGTGCCGTCATAACCATTCACCTGGTGGGATCACAGGGCGGATTACTGGAGCTGAGAGTGGGACGGACACAGCCACACCCGGAGGACAGCTGTCATCGTAAGCCTTTCCCGGGAGAGACTGGGATGCTGTGTCTCGGCCTGCATGCTCCTTCCTGTTCTGCACGGGGTGAGGGATGTCTGGTTATTTGTATCATTCTGGACTCTGAGTTGTAACAGAAACTCAAGTTGCTCACTTCAGAGGCCTGTTACAGGGTGGGGGCACTGGGCGGGTTCACAGATCCTATCAGGACAGGCTGCAGTAGGTGGGGTTTCCGGGAGCAGGGCTGCTCTGCAGGGCCCGGCGCCTGCGGCACCCACTCCAGCCTCCAGCCTCTCCCGGGCCGGGCCGGGGCCCAGGTTCCAGAGAGAAGCTCTTCCCCGAAGCTCCAGAAGTGCCTGATGGGCTTTTATTGGGCTGGCCAGGTCACATGTCCACGCCTGAGCCAATCGCTGCCGCCAGAGGGCTGGGGCGCGCTGATTGGCCAGGCCCGGGGCACGTGCTGGGGTGGGGCCAACACCTGGTCCCGGAGGAGGCTGTAGAGGAGGGCAGGTGCTGGGCTGGGAGGCCCCAGGCCCTGGCCCCCCCGTTATTTGACCTCTTGGTCAGGCCCCCCTATTCGAAGAGCCCCCCCTCTGTGCACCCACAGCGGCCTGACATTAATTTCTCAATAAATGTTTAACAGGCGCTAGGCACAGAGCAGGGGGTCCAGGAGGAACCCCGACAATCACGGCCTGAAGGAGGGGGTGCTCTGTGCGGGGGGAGAACGAGGGGATTTCCGGGAGGCGTGTGGGCTCAGGTGAGGAGGCTGGGAAGGTAGGGAGTGGAGGAGGCAGGTATGGACGCATTTTCATCCCAAGCCCGGGCTGTAGGAGGTATTACATGTCCTCCTTTCCCCCCATCAACCTCCTCCAGCCCAGCCTGCCCCCGGCCCTCACCACTCTCCCGGCTGTGCCATGGGCCATGCATGTGCACCCATGGTCTCTGGTTGGTCACCTCCCATCCACCCTCCCCGCCCTCCCTCCGAGATTCCCCACTCTGCTCCATGCTTCCCTGTCTCTGGGTCCACTCTGTTCATCAGCTTATTTTGTTCATTAGGTTCCACGTAAGAGTGAGATCATGAGATGCTGGTCTTTCTCTGACGGGCTTATTACAGTTGGCATGATGCTCCCCAGGGCCTCCATGCTGTCCCAAAGGGTAAGCTTTTTTACTGCTGTGTAGTATTCCACCTTTGGCGTTTCCAGTGGGGGGAGCAGAGAAATGGGAGTAGGCAGGAGGAAATGTAGCAGCAAGGGAGAACTTCCCACTCTTTTGGGAAATACTGTACAGGGGTGCGAAGGCTGAAGGCTCAGGAGAGCATAGAGGGGAGGGCAGCAGAGGGAGGGTGCCCAGATCAAGCTCAGGGGAGGAGAGCCCACAGGGCAGGGGGTGCCAGGCTGGGAGATCCAAGAGGTGAGAGGGATGCTACGTGATGGCTTCCATTTTTTTCACTGAAGAGGGAGGTGAGGTCTGGCGCTGGGTGTGAGGGCAGGAGGGTCTGTGAGGGGTGGGCGGAGGGGGAGAGGGTGTGAAATCTTAGTCTCTGATGGGATGTCACTGAAAAACATGGAGAGCTGCTGACTATGAATTTGTGAAGTTTATCACAAATTCCCAATCAGAAAGGTGGTCTGTGCCCCATACCCACACCCACCCGCCAGAGCTATAGGCACCGGAGCTATTGGCGGGCAGGAGGGCTTACCGTGGAGGCAGGAGGAGCTGGGAGGCCAGGAAGTAGTACTGTTATCTGCTTCACTGATGGGGAAGCTGAGAGGTTCAAGGCCAGTGTAGTACCCAAGTGGCCTTGGGGTCAGACCAACCAGTACAGGGTCTGTTAGGTGCTCATGTGTTTGTTGAGAAATGTGAATGGTGGGGCAGCCCAGTGATGCATCCACAGTCTATTCCAGGTGCCAGGCACCCCAAGCTTGGAGCTGGTGGGTGGGGCTGGTGACTTCCCACCCTAAGACATGACTCAGGTAGGCCAATCTTTCCAGAGCTCAGTGGTAGAACTTCACAGACACCCACTGAGCATCTGGCTCTTCGACCCATTTCTCAAGCAGTGCTCACTTTCAGAGAAGTCACAGCCCTGGGCCAGGCGGCCCAGCCCCTGGGGAATGCCACCTCAGGCCTCTCCCCTGGCTTTGCTGTCTACACCCCACCCAGGCCAGCAGGCAGGGGGTGCCAGGATCTCACCCCTGCACTGCCTGCGGCTCTCCGGCTCTCCGAGGCCAGGCTCCCCCTGGAAGGGCAGACCAGGGCCATGGGCTCTGAACTCGGTGGGGACGGGGTCCTCCTGGGGAAGGGAGGGCTCCCAGCCCTGTATCTCAAAGCCATGTAGGCAGGAGCCAACCTGGCCACTTCTCTGAAGTTGTTAATAATGGTTCATGCTGGAAAAATCACACAAAACAAAACAAAAACACACCATAGAAGCGAACAGTAGTTATTTGGGCTATAAAAGCATAAAACTCCAGATTTCTCCCTGTGGCTATTTATAACCTGAGCTGGTGTAAACTGTGCCCATATTAAGCTCAGGTTTGAAGTAACTTAAAAGGAAAATAGCCGTCGCTGCATTTACAAAATTCAATTATAGACCTCTCGCTTGCTAATTACGGACCAACAGCCTGGGGGTGGGAGTGGGCCGACACCGACCCTCCAGGACCCTGTGGCCCCGCGGTCGGCCTGGGGGGTGGGGGGGAGGGCAGGGAGGTCTAGGGCGGGGTCGCGCACCCTCTCGGGCCCCGGGCGGGCGGAGCGGGGGCGGGGGCGGGAGCCCGGGGCGGAGCGGGGGCGGCCGGCTGCGGGTCCGGAAAAGTGGCTCCTGCCTGGGAGGAAGTTGGCCCTCCTCCCCTCGCCCGGGCTTGGGATGAAAATAGCTTCTTCCTCTTCACCCTTCCGGGCCCCCAGCCCCTTTCTCCAGGCCCCCCGTTTCTGCCGGGGCGCCCCCTCCCCCCCGGGCCTGCGCTGTTCTCTCAGCGGCGGCGGGACCGCGGGGACCTCCCGCCCGGCCTCGGCGGGCGCCCCGAAACTCGGGCGATTCCGGTGATCCCCACCTCCCCCGCCGGCCGGCAGGGCGCACCCCGCGAGCGGCCGCACCGCCGCCTTCCCCTCCGGAGGCTGTCCCCGGAGCCCCCGCCCTCGGCACCCGGGCTCCCGGGCCCCGCGGCACCCCCGAACTCCTTGGGGAAAGTGGGGGCGCAATTAGTTTCTTTCAATTAGTTCCTCTTTGTATGGCCCCATTCAAACTGAGATGTACTCCTCCGCGCGAGGGGAAAGTAGTCCCGACCTTCCATTCAATTTCTGCTCTCGCGTCGCCCACATTTTTACTTTTTAAGGCCGACGGGACCCTCGGCGGGGCCCCTCGCCGATGTGGGGGCCGAGGCCGCCGGGGTGCGCGCAGGAGAGGGGGCGCCCCGGCGGCGGGAGGGGGCGGGGAGGCGCTGCTCCTCGCGGCGCCGGGAGAGAGGGATCATGGGGCGTCGAGAGATTGCAAACCTCAAACCACGTACAGCGGGCGATACGCGTCTACCGAACCTGACCAACGGAAGCCCGCGCCCCGCCCCTGCTCCCGCCCCGCGCCCGGGATAGACGGGCGCGCCGAGCCAACCGGGAGGCGGCTCGCCGTCCAAGTCCCACGAGAGCCAATGGGAGCGCGCGGGGGCGGAGCCGCTCCGCAGCGGGTTGGGCTGCGCGCGGCTTCCCCCCGCGGCCAGGCCCCGCCCCTCCCCTCCCGCCCGCTGCTCCCGGAGTAGTTGGAGCCCGTGAAGTGCGGGCGGCGATGAGAGCGAAAGTTGCGCTCGGCTCGGCGCTGGGGGCTTGAAGCGGCGCCGCGCTCCGCCCGCCCGGGCCGCCCCCAGCCCCTGCCGCGCCCGCCCGGCCCCGCGCCCGCCGCCTCCGGCCCCGTCCCGTCCCGGCGCCCCCTCAGGAGCCGGGGTCCCCGTCACTCGCGCGCGGCCGCGGCCCCCTCCGATGCCGACCATGGTGGAGAAGGGCCCCGAGGTGTCCGGGAAGCGGAGAGGGCGGAACAACGCGGCCGGCGCCGCCGCCTCGGCCGCCCCCGCCGCGGCCGCCTCGGCCGCCGCCGCCGCCTCGGCCGCCGCCGCGGCCGCGGCCGCCGCCCCCGGCAATGGGCAGAATAAAAGTTTGGCGGCGGCGGCGCCCAATGGCAACAGCAGCAGCAACTCCTGGGAGGAAGGCAGCTCGGGCTCGTCCAGCGACGAGGAGCACGGTAGGTGCAGCCGCCCGCGCCCCGCGCCCGCGCCCGCGCCCGCGCCCCGCGCCCCGCGCCGCTCACCGTGTCCGCTTCCCCGCAGGTGGCGGCGGCATGCGGGTGGGACCCCAGTACCAGGCGGCCGTGCCCGACTTCGACCCCGGTGAGTAGCGCCGGCCGCCGGCCCGCGGACAACTTTCTGTGTGCGCCCTGCCGTCCGCGGCCAGAGCAGCGGCGCGGGGGGGCGCGGGGAGCCGCCGCCCCCGCGTGGCCCCGGGACCCAGGCCGCCGGCCGGACGCCCCGGCCTGGGGCCCCGGCGGTGCCGGTGCGGACGGGCTGCGGCGCCTCGGCCCGCGGGAGGGGGCCGTGCGGGAGGGCGAGCATCCCGCGAGCCGGGCCCGGGCGGCCTCGGACCCGGGGCCCCGGCGGGTGCTGCCGGGCCTCCCCTGCGGCGGCCGCCCCGCCCCGAGGCCCGGGGCCGCAGTCCGGGCGGCCTGCCGCTGCGCCCCCGCCCCTCCTCTAGGGGAGGACCGGCCGCACCGCCGCCGGGCCGGAGGTCCGCACCCCAGCCGCCTGCCCCGCGGCCCCTCCCGCGGCTGCTCCGCGGAGCCGCCGGTGCCGGAGCCGCCAGACAAAGGAATCGGTGGGTTCGTGCACGCGGTCCGGCCGCTCCCGAGGCTGCGGGCGGCGACCCCGTTCCGGAGGACGCGGCTGACCGCCCCGCCGCCCCGCGGAGCCCGGAGCCCGGCCCGGGGCCAGCAGACCCCGCGGGCGGGAGGCCCCGCGGTCTCCGGGAGGAAATAAGTGCCCAAGTGAACGCCTCTCCAGGGGAGCCGGTGTGGTCCCGGGCACGGCCTCCGCTCCCGGCGGCTGCTCCGGTGCCAGCCCGGGGCGCCCTCTGCGCGGGGACCCCCGCGGAGCTCCTGGTCCCGGCGGTGGGACCTCCCACCCGCTCCTCCCGCGGAGGGAGTCCGGCGGGCTCCCTGCCTTCTCCAGCCGCTGGGGTTCGGTTCCTCCCTCCCCCACACACCCTCCCTCCGTGAGGACCGGACGGACTGACAGGCCGGGACTGACAGTGACAGGACGGCCGGCCCGCACGCCCCCATCCCCCGCGCGGCCGCCAGGGGAAGCACCGCCTCTTGGTCACAGTTGACCCCTCTGCATCTGTAGGTCAAGTCCATCCCGTTGTAGCGCAGGGAGCACGGGGCTTGCCTGTGAGTAAGTTGGCCAGTTTGGGCACACTTTGGTGATGTCGGTCTGGAGAGCTTTCTTGAGAAAGGGGCCCGAGTGAGAGCAGATGCCTGGCATTCTTGTGGGATCGGTGCCCAGCTCCGCGTTGCATGGAGCCTGACCTTAGAGTTGTGCTCTTCTTTGAAACAGCGAATGTGGCAGGATTGCGTTTTGAGTTGCCCTTGCCTGTTTGAGGGGATAGAGACCTGCCCCTCAGCGGTAAGACAGTGAGTGTGCTGCCCGTGTCTCCCTGCACAGGGCCTGGGTCTCAGCAATAATAGTTCCAGGTCGCCTAGAAGGGCATCTGACGGGCATGGAGTGCTGTGCCAGGCTGAGTGCTGGGCACTGTGGGCTCAGTGTTCCTGGTGAGTGTTTTAGGTGTCGCTCACACCACATAAAGGCAAGGGAGAGAGGACTTCCATTTTGGAATACACTTAAGACTATTACCCCCCCCCCCCAGTACAAGTGAGGAGTATGGATGGAGACTGTGATTGTTACTATTTCTCTGGCCGGTTTTTTTTTTTTTTTTTAAATACGTTTTTATTTATAGTTTTTATTTAGAGGGAGGAAGGGAGAGGGAGAGGGAGAGACAGAAACCTGGATGAGAAACATGGATGGGCTGCCTCCTCTCGCCTACGCTGGGGATGGAGCCTGAAACCCAGGCCTGTGCCCTGAGGGGAATCCAACCGTGACCTGTTGGTGCACTCAACTGAGTCACAGCCAGGCCCTGCCTGGGTTTTGAATGCATCTCTCTCTCTCTCTCTCTCTCTCTCTCTGTCAGAATTTGAACAGGCAGGTGAATGTGAAACTCACCAGAAAGCCTTTTTCCTCCCGGTGGTAAAGATGTGTGAGTAGAAGTTGATTTCAATTTTTTTTTTTTAAGTCAGACTTTATTTCCCCCCCGTCTTTCACCTTTACCCTATTTAGCTTTAAAAGCAAATGGTTGAGCCCTAATTGGTTTGGCTCAGTGGATAGAGTGTCAGCTTGCGGACTGAAAGGTCCCAGGTTCAATTCCGGTCAAGGGCATGTGCCTTGGTTGTGGGCGCATCCCCGGTGGGGGTGTGTGCAGGAGGCAGCTGATTGATGTTTCTCTCTCATTGATGTTTTTAATTATCCCTCTCCCTTCCTCTCTGTAAAAAATCAATAAAATATATTAAAAAAAAAAAAAGCAAATGGTTGAAACCAGGAACCACCTATTAATCCCTAGTATTCCAAGGAAAATTCATTTCTCTCATCCCTGTAAGTAGTGAAGTAAGTGGCCCTGACATGCTGATTCAGCTCTTCTGATCTAATTAAGATGTAGACTAACTCAGTGATTTATGGCATAACTTGTAAGCATCTGTTTATAACGATGGAAAAAGTTTTATCAGTTCGATTTAAAAACAAAGCAGAATGCAGCCGAAACCGGTTTGGCTCAGTGGTAGAGTTGTCAGTCTACGGACTGAAGGGTCCCGGGTTCGATTCCGGTCAAGGGCATGTACCTTGGTTTCGGGCACATCCCCAGTAGGGGGTGTGCAAGAGGCAGCTGGTCGATGTTTCTCTCTCATCGATGTTTCTAGCTCACTATCTCTCTCCCTTCCTCTCTGTAAAAAAATCAATAAAATATATTTAAAAAAACAACAACAAAGCAGAATGCAGTCTTATACCTTTTTTTGACATTGACTTTAAAAAAAAAAATCTTTATTGTTTAAAGTAGGGGTGTCGAACTCAATCAGAGAAGGGGCCAAAATCTAAAATCCAGCCTAAATCGCGGGCCGAATGGTTTACTGAACAGTCATAAACTGTCATTGTGATGGAAACGCAGCGGAGTGCAGTGATGACAGCGCTGTGCGGGCCACATTGCAAGACCTGGCGGGACGGATTTGGCCCTCGGGCCTTGTGTTTGACACATGTGGTTTAAAGTATTACATATGTCTCTTTTCCCCCCACTGACCTCTCCCCAGCCACCCCACCCCCAGCACATGTCCTCACCCCCCTAATGTCTGTGTCCATTGGTAATGCTCATATGCCGGCCTGTAAGTCCTTTGGTTGATCTCTTCCTGCCCCTCTCCCCTCCCTCTGAGGTTTGACTGTTTGATGCTTCCCTGTCTCTGCATCTGTTTTTGCTCAGTTTATGTTGTTCATTATATTCCTTTAACTGAGGCTTTCTTCTCGCTGGTGTCTAGGCCAGCTTTCCCGTCCCAACTCCACAGCATGTGCTGCTGTGTCCTTTCTGCTAGTTCAGTGAGGGAGGCATGCTTCCTCCACCTCACCCGTGGCTTCTATCTTCTGGCAGAGCAGGGTTTGTTTTGACGTGTGTTTTCTGTACAAAAAGTGCATGTTCCCAGGGAGCGTGCAGAGGGGAAGGAGCTGGAGCCGTGCATTGGGTGGGTCGAGCTTGACTCCTCTTTGCTGTCTTATGGCTGGAGGCGCGCAGGGGAGGGCTTCCCGGTGACTCCAGCCCTGTTTTCTGAACGCGTGTTACTGTCCCTTCTCCCTGCGTTGGTTCTCAGTATCACAGTTCACATGATAGTAAAATTAAGACTCCTGCAGAAGAGGAAATGTTAATGGTACATATTTTTGTAGTAATGGGCCTTTAAACATGCAACCCATATTTGGAACATTGAACCCAATAAATTTAATCAGATTTGGAAATTGTGGTTGTCTTGGTTCAACTATCACTTCAGAGTTGACTGGTTTTAAAAAATGTATTACCCTTTACTGTGGAGTAATCTTACTGAAGCGGGCATCTTTTTTTTTTTTTTTTTAATATATATTTTATTGATTTTTGTACAGAGAGGAAGGGAGAGAGAGAGAGAGCTATCGATCAGCTGCCTCTTGCACACCCCCCACTGGGGATATGCCCACAACCAAGGTACATGCCCTTAACCGGAATTGAACCCGGAACCCTTCAGTCCCCAAGCCGACGCTCTATCCATTGAGCCAAACCGGTTTCGGCTGAAGCGGGCATCTTGATCTGCTTTTCATTGCTTTTTATTGCTGGTTCTATGTACCTCTTTGAGCACGTTATTTTCTGTGCTTTAGTTTCATCGTAAAAATCAGTTTTATAGATATCCTAAAATCCACAGAGAATGGCTTGTGAGTCACACATACTTCGGAGCAGGATTCACCAAAGGAGAAGTTGGGGCGATGGTGAGTCCTACGAGCGGTCACGTGTTAGGTGGTGTGGCAGGGAGCCCCCAGAGCTGGTGGTCAGAGGTGGACGCCTGCCTCTGATTGAGAAGGTGATAGCAGGTAGGGCCATTTTATTCCGGAAGCCTGTTTCCCGGGTCGTCATGAATCAGGTTGTTTCATCACTGAGTGTGTGGTGATGCCAGGCACAGTCACCTTTAATGTCCTGTTTGCTTCAGAGGCAGACTGCGTGCTCGGGCGGAGAGAGTTGTGAAACCCGCTCACATCCTCGCAGTGCTGCTTGCCACCTGTGTGCTGACTTTTGGGCAAGATGCTTCATTGTTGTTAATCCTCCTCCGAGGTTTCCATCGATCGTTAGGGAGAGGGGAGGGAGGCAGGGGTGGATAGAGACAGAGACATTGATGCTAGAGCAGCGTTTTTCAACCGCTGTTCCGCGGCACACTAGTGTGCCGCGAGACGTTGCCTGGTGTGCCGTAGGTGCAGACAAGACAAGAATTTTATAATTTTTCACTATTTTGTTTACTTAATATTTCATAATAAAGTAATTATAAAATACTTTCTTTGTGTTTATTTGATTCCTATTCAAGAGAATTACTTTATATATAGTCAATATAGGCACAGAGTTAAATTTTTTAACATTTTCTAATGGTGGTGTGCCTCGTGATTTTTTTCATGAAACAAGTGTGCCTTTGCCCAAAAAAGGTTGAAAAACACTGTGTTAGAGATACACACCCATTGGCTGCCCCTGCACACATCCTGACTGGGGCTGGGGATCGAACCTGCAACCTAGGTTTGTGCCC